AAAAAAGCATTGTAAGAGATGTAAATGTAATTGTATTACAACCATGTGACTTTACAATCACATCCCAAGGACAGTCCACTTTGGAACACAAGTATCATATCAGGCCTTGTTCTCTAGGACAGAATTGCATCACAAGGAACCAATTAGGAGTTAAAGAGACCCCAGTAATAAGGGTGGCGTATAGTAATCCACTGCCATTGAGCCAATATCGACTCCCAGTGAGCCTGTAGGACAGAGTAGAACTGGTCCTTCTGGTCTCCTAGATGAAAGCTTTATCTGAGCTGTCAGCAGCATCTTTTTCTGGTGGAGCAGTTGAGGCCCTTGGACCACTGAGTTGCCACATAGCAGCCAAACACTTAAACCTGAAGGGCTCCTTCAGCATACAATGGATAATGATAAATGATTGATAAGGTGAATCATTAAAGTCAAAATCTACTTTGGAATGGAATTGTGAGCTCCTCCACTTACCCCCTAACATATTTGTAATAGGAAACTGTTTTATAAGTGAAAGCATCTTGTAACAAACTGCTTCTAAAGCTGGGGAACTAAAACCTAGGGTGTCAGTATTTGTTTTCCCTCTACATACTCTGTTTGCTCTCTCTGAATATAACTCCATCCATAGGCATTGGAGCCCTAAGGAGATTGTAGCAGGAGATTGGGCGCAGCTGCCTTTGTTAATAGGTCCTGCAATTAGCTCTCAAAGGCGGTGGATTAAGCACTTGGCAGATATTTGCAAGATTGGCAGTTCACACCCACCAGTTGCTCCACTGGAGAATGATAAGGCTGCTGCTATAAAGATTTACCATCTCCTAAACTCTAAGAAGCAGCTCCGTGCTGTCCTAGAGGGGTCTCTACGAGTCAGAATTGCTTCAATGGCAATTGCTGGATTGCCATGTACAGTGCAAAATGCTCAGCAGATGAGTCGTGTGGAATTGATTGCTGGCAACTAAAGAGGACTTATGTTTTTGCTCCAGAGACATTGAGAACAGAATAATGCCACAATGACTTGTGAGGACATTAAAAGGAAAGGGATTCTTCACTCAAGAAAATGATAAAAATATTTGAGACTTGCGTCCTCTTTCAGCCAGAAGTATCAACACGGGAGGAAAATGCAAATAAAAGAAGACAAAGCACACGTTACTTTTTTCAATTAAAATATAGCGATAACATCACTAGACTTTCCTTGCTAGCTCCCAGTTGTGGTTGTTCGGTGCCAACCCATAGCAAACCACCCTCTGCACAATCGAACACAATGAAGTCCTGAGCCAGCCTCACAGTTCTTATGGCTGCGCCCGTGAATGCAGCCACTGGGGCAATCCACCTCATTGGCCTTTGTCTTTCTCACTACCTTCTACTTTACCACACGCGATGTCCTTCTCCAGGACTGGTCTCTCCTGACGATAAGTCAAAAGGACATAAGACAATTGCTAGCCGTCCTTGCCTCTTTCAGGAGCAGTCTGGCTTTTCTTCTTCCAACACAGGTCAGTTTGTCTTTCCAACAGTCCATGGGACTTCTGTTATTCTTCTCCAGTACTATGATTCCATTGCATCGCGTTTTCTTGGTCTTCCTTATTCAGGTTCCAACTTTCACGGGCATAGGGTGCAATGGAGAAAACAGTGGCTTGGGTGGGTCACACCTGAGACCTCAAAGTAACACCTTTGCTCTTCAGTGCTCTAAAGAGGTCTCGTGCAGAAGATTGGCCTCATGCAATAAGCCTTTTGATCTCTTGGCTGCTGCTTCTGTGAGCATTGATTGTGGATCCAAGTAACACACAATCCTTGACAACTTCAACATTTTCTCCATTTATCATTTGTTATTTATTGGCCCAATTGCAGTCATTGTAGTTTGAATTTCTTCCTGCAGCGCTATTGGTTATTGCTTATATGCTACCTTCTGAAGTGATGGAGTATCAACTTGTTCCTTTTGGTACAGTGACTCTATGGTTCTTTCTATCTTTTCTTGATACTTCCTGCATCATTCAATATTTTGCCTACAGAATCCAGATTGCTGCTCGAGGCTTGAATGTTTTTCTTGAATTCCTTCGATTTCAGGATGCTGAACGTGTTCTTCCCGTTGGGTTTCCTAGTTCTAGGTCCTTGCACATTTCATTATAAGTTTGGCTTTGTCTTCTCAAGCTGCCCTTTGAAATGTCCTTGACTTTAAGCTTTCTTCCATTTGCTTTAGCTACTCTGTGATTAAAACCAAGTGTCAGTCTCTTCTGACATCCATTTTGATCTTTTCTTTCTTTCCTGTCTTTTTAATGACTGCTTGCTTTCTTCATGGATGATGGTCGTGATTTCTTCTGTCATTAGTGTTCAGTGTATCAAATCTGTTCCTGAGATGTTCCCAAAATTCAGATGGGATAGACTTACGGTCATATTTTGACTCTTGTGGACTTGTTTTAATTTTCTTCAGCTTATCCTGAACTTACATAAATGGAATTTACTCTCTGTTCCCTGGTCTGATCTCCATCGCATCTTCCCATAGATGCACTCCATTTGATATCTGCATTCCATCTGGGGGAAGTCCATGTGAACGGACAAAACAACCTTTTGTGCTGTTGAAAATGTTATTTGCTATGAACAAATCGTGGGTTCTGCAAAATTCTATCGTGCCATCTGCGGCTTCATTTCTATCACCAAGTCCATATTTTCCAACTACTAGTCCTTTCTCTTTCCAGTTGTTCCATTCCAAGCACCTATAACTATTAATGCATCTTCATTGCATGTTTGATCAAATTTTTTTTATGTTTGATCAATTTTTGACTGACGTGAGCGGTAGAATTCTTCAATTTCTTCATCACTAGCTTTGTGTCGGGCACATACATTCGAGTAATAGTTGTTTTGATTGGATCGCCTTGAAGGTGGATACATATAATCCTATCACAGAGAGCATTGTCCTTCATGATGGATGTCTCAAGATCCTTCCTGACAATGAAAGCCAAGCCATTCCTCTTGATTGTTATTCCCTGCGTAGTAAATCATATGATTTTCTGATTCAAAACAGTCAATACCAGTCCACTTCAGCTCAATAATACCTAAGATCTGGATATGCATACATTTCATTTCATGTTTTGACCACTTCCAATTTTCTTAAATTCATACACCACACATTCCAAGTTCCAATCATTAGAAGATTTTTGCAGCTGTTTCTCTTTACCTTGAGTCGTGCCCCATCTGCAAATGAAGATCCCCAGGACACCATTCCCACGAGCTTTTCCCAACTCACTCAGTCAACTCCCTTCCATGGCCTCATCTCTTCAGTCACATTTCGAGTGCCCTCCCGCCTGAGGATCCCATCCTCCGGCAATAACTCAGAACACTATGTTCTGCTTCCTTTGTTAGGCTTTCAGTCTGGACAATGTTATGTACAAGGTTCAAAGTTATGCGTAAGGTTTTCTTCCTCTGCAGTGGAGAGCCAAATGCTTCTTCCTTGTCTATTGTTAGTCTGGAGGCTCTGCTGAAACCTGTTCAGTCTGGGTGATCGTACTGGCATTTGAAATACCAGTGACATCATTTCCAGCATCACAGCAACACACACGCCTCTACAGTGTGACAAACTGACAAACAAGTAGTGGTTGCTAGCTCTTGGACACACTGTTTTCTAATATCAAAATGATAGAAGAAATTTGCCCCTCTCAGTTGTAAGACCAAAGGTTAGCATGGTCACTTTGGCCAGGCTTAGCCTGGAGGAGGGCTTAGCCACAGCGGGAACCTAGCCTGCAGTAGTGTAACCACAGGCTCATCCTTGCAGTCCTAGGGGATGTGACTCATGTGCATTTTTAAAAACTGGTCCCCAGGGATGCCCCATAGTTGCTCCTCTGACGTTCAAAAGTTACTTGCATACAAAACTTTTTAGTATTAAAATCTCAAACACTGCATCAAAACCAAATGTACTACTGTAGAATCAATTCCGACTTAGAGTTGCCCCCCTATAAGACAAAGTAGAAATGTCCCATATAGTTTTTAAGAGTGTAAATCTTTTTTTTTTAATAGTTTTAAGAGTGTAAATCGAGACTCAAAACCCATCGGTAGGCAACCAGACACCCCCTCGCGGAAGGGTTGAGGGGAGGAGACGAGCCAATCAGGG